TGGAGCAGAGTACTACAAGTCTTGCAGGAAAACAAATTCCAACCCAGACTGATAGACCCGCAAAACTCACTTTCAAGTATAATGGAGAAGTGAAATACTTCCATGACAAAGAATAACTTAAGAATTTCACGACAAAGCCAAACCTACACAGACTACTAAAAGATGTTCTAATGAGGGAGCAAAATGACCACAACTCCATAAATGAGAATGGAAAGACACCACCAAACAGGGAAAACAATCAAACACAGGAGAATAAGAGCTATACAAAAGTAGTCTTTCAGTTATTCTTTTGTGTACAGCAGCAAAATATTTCCATCAGAATACACTACAAATGGACTTCTCCTGTATCTATGAGTCATGATTCCATCTGGGTCTACAGGGTGGATATCAAGGAAATAGTAGTAGCTCAGTCCCACAAATGATACCTGGCCACCAGTAAGTGTCAGGGACACTATTCATGTCCACAATATACTAGAATTTTATGTGATATCCTATCCCCAAACTGTTAGAAGTGCTGGTTGTTTATTTTCCATTCCAGTATTAATCTTATGTTTCATTCTTAGTAATTCTTTTCTATCATGAAAACTTTTTCTTAGTTCAATTGTTTTGAAACATTTATCTTTTAATTATTAATATTTAAATTTCTGAATATTGCTTAATCTTAAATTTTGTTTTAATAACTTCTGACATTGCCAGTCAATCGGAAGACCCAATACTGTTATGGACTACTGGACTATTTTGGAATATTTTGCTGAGTTCACACACCTATGATATTTAAATGATGGAACTAAACCAAAAAGAGGATACAGATGAATGACCATTTTGTATCTGTGTATTCAAAATGGTTAGAATAGATATATAGCTACATTCTCTTAATGAATAGAGGGATTTGTTCTAATAGTGTTTGTAAATAGGATATCATGTCTGAGTCTTTTTTTTTTATGTCTGAACCTTGTATAACAAATAACCACTATGAAGACAGTATGCAATGTGTTAATTATTGAAACTCTCCTACCAATTTGATTTTAAACTATCTCATTGCCACTTATTTCTCAATAAACTTATGGAAAAAAAATTTTGTTTCTTTGACTTACAATCTACTTAAAAGACATGGCATGATATTTTCTCCTAGTATTAGAAACTTTAAAAAGTATATTTCCATTTTCCATTGACTTATATT